TGTCCACCAGCAGAAAGGAATCTATTTTTTCATTTTGAGATAGGGTCTTGCTAAGTGGCCTAGGCTGGACTTGAACTTGAGATCCTCCTGCCTCAGCCTCTCAGAGTGCTGGGATTACAGACAAGCACCCCTAGTCTTGGCTTTGGATAAATGAATTTAACGATACTCTGTTTTCCTTGTCATTCTGGGTACATGTTACACTGAACATTACTCTGCCACAGGCTTCCAAAGATTGCCAGAAGGCCGTGGCACCCGAAGGCTTTAGAGCAATTGCAGGACAACAGCGTGGACACACTGAGACCTTGGGCATCTAGGCTGCAGGTTTCGGAGAGAATGGAGCTGTGACTGTGGGCCCCGGCCCACGTGGGCAGCGGTGCAGGCCTGGCGCTCACATGCATGTAGGCAGGGCTTCTGGAGGTTGAGCAGAGCACCCAGTGAATAGCTGATTCACTGCCCGGGGATGGCGCTTTGTGGGAAGGGGCGTGGCCCGGCGGGAAGGGGTACCTCCTGGCTTCCCCCATCTCTCTAGGCTTCCTGGGCCAGGCTGTAAGCTTCTCTCCTCCACCAGGCCTCTGCCAGCCTTCCTAGCTTGGAGCTAGCTGACTAGGGACTGCAACCGCTACAAGCTGGGCTAAAGTAAAACTCTGCTTTCGCTTGAGGTGTTGGCTCTGGAGTTCCAGCACCCGGAAAAGGACCAAGCTGCCCTCGCGGCCCTTCCATCTTCCTCCCCTTGTGCTTCCTGCACCAACCACGTGCCACACCGCTTGGGTGCTGGGCGTCTACCCGAGAACACCGCGAATGGTTCCGGTCGGAGGGACCACAGCGGGGGCAGGCACCGTGTGGGGCGGCCGGGGCTCCTGGGCCGGGCTCTCCAGCCGCGGATGCCTGTGCTCCGCGCGGGTCCAGCTGGAGAGTGCACGGCTTGGCCGGGCGAGAGGTGCGCGGTGCGAACTCTCAGTGGAGCTGTTATTCCAAAGCAACGTGATTGGAGCGTTACAGGCCGGTGAGTGGGTAAGAGAGCAGCGAGAGATGAGCGGTAGGCCGAGAGCCCGTGCTGCCCAGTCCGCTGGCGCTGCGACCCCCAGCGTGGGCCTTTGAGGGGCTGGACGAGTCCCTGGGGATGCGGCTGGAGGTGGGCCCGTGCGCTACCTGCACTACGGAATAGCAAGACCCCTGCCCTCGTGAGAGCGCAGCTAACTCTCAGCCGTGCGCAGGAAGAGCCCTTGCCAGGGGCTGAACCTCTGCGCCTTGCGCTTGGACTCCAGCCTCGGGCTTGGTGCAAGTGACTGTTGTGTTCTGAGCCGCGGCTCACCTTGGTGCTCGGTGGGCGGCCGGAGCTGACTGAGGCGGGTTTCCAGGATGTCGGGACTGTAAACAGAGTGGCTGGAAAGCCCGGCTCAGAAGGCCGCAAGCCAGCGTGAGCAGCCGGGGGGCTGTCACTTGGGGACAGTGACGCAAGGGCCCCGAGGGATGCCTGGAGCAGCAGGGCAGCGGAGGGCCGGGGAGGCGACCTGGGCACCGTCTGAGGACTCTGATCTCCTCCGGCAGGAGGAGCCCAGGGAGGAGGCTGAGAGAGCAGAGCGGTGACCAGACCGGGCTTTCCGTGGCTGCCACGACAGTGCAGAGACGCTGTCCCCAGAGCTCGCTCTGCCCACGCACTCTGCTCCTCCTCCCCACGGTTGGACGCCTCAGCGGCTACGGCTGTCTTCTCTGTTTCAGAGAAACTGACTCTAGGACTAGATGGAGATTTGATCCATGGTAGAGGCAGAGCCAGGACGCTTTGGGGATCTGGAGCCCTGCGCCCCCCCCCCCCACGCGCTCAATCCGGGCACTCACTGAGCTCGGCGATGCTGCCCACGCGCGTGGCCAGCAGGGACTGCTCGATGGTCCGCAGCTCCGACTGGCTGAACATGGACAGCTCCCCTGGCTTGGCCGCCCGCTGAGGCTCGCGGTGCAGGTTCAGGCTTTCGGGCAGGCTCAGGACCCCTGCGATGGAAAAAAAAGAGAGGGTCACTCTGTGATCAGAACCTTGGACCACACCAGGGTTCGCTGCCAGCCACTGTGGGGCAGGGACACTGAGCCCAGCTCCTTAGAAAGGTCCCTGCAAGGAGTTGTACTGACATGTGGGCCCTGGTTGGGACAAGGGCATTTCCAAAGGACACAGAACAAGTCCTCCCCTCTGCCTGCTGGGGATTCTGCTACTACCTGAGCCAGCTCTCGGGACCAAGGGGTCAGTGCCCATCCACACCTCCCAAGGCAGCTTCTGAAGCATCCAGGGGACAGTCCCTGCTGGTAGTGACTTCTTCCTTTTATTTTCCAACACAGAATCTAGGTTTATAATCCAGATTGGTGTAGAACTCACAGAGACACTCCTGCCTCAGCCTCCGCAGGCTAGGATTGCAGGTGAGTGCTGCTGCCACACCAAGCACGCTGCTGACTGGCCACACAGATGCCCCTGCAGTGGCCGGGCTGCTATCTGAATGCCTGGCTTTCTCTCAGAGGTGCGAAGTCAGGAGGAGAACATCCCCAGGCACTTTCCTCACTTGTATGGGGAGCACCCCGGAAAATCACTGGAACCCAGACGTCCCCTCTCCTTTCTTTCCACGATAAGAACACCGGAGAGAACATGAAACTTCCTTCCTGACAAGCACCTGTGATACGGAACTCCTCTGTGCTCCACCTCCGCCAGGAGCAGACCACGCCCTGCTGGCCTGCTCTAAGGAGGGTGAGACCCAGACCCAGCAGCACCTGCTCCATCGGAGGTTGCCTAGCTGCCCCATAAAAGCAAGTGCTTATATGGCACGCACTAAAAGAGCCGGGGGTGGTTGTTACTCGCCATCACCATGGGAAGACTGACAGCTACACGCACTAACCAGTAGTCACCGAGGACAGTGAATAAGGCAAATGCTGCTGTGCTCAGGCCGAGGTGGGGATAAGGAACGCGGCCCACATCACCCCGTTCTCCCTGAGTACCTGTCCAAGTGATGGGGAGAAATCTGTACACTCAACCACAGACTACAGGACCAGTGAGTGCTCTGTGTGGAAGATGATGCGAGAGGTCTTAGCCAGGTCCTGAGCACACAACACGCGAAGCAGTTTACTGAGGCCCGCTGTGTCCCGGCACCACCCACACCCTGGAGGTGCAGAAGCAGCAGGAGGTGTGTCCAGGCCACCTAGGAGCTCACTGCGCCAGAAGCGGGACCATGTGGTGACCGAGGACAGTAACACAGGAGCCACAGGGTGGCTGGAACCCATGGCCGGGTGCGGGGTGCCTGGGATGGGCTCCCATCCTGCACACCCCTCCTGCACCCGCAGGGGCCACACGGCCGCTCGACGCCCCCCAAGTGCTCCACTTCCCTAGTGACGCCAACACACACAAGGGCAGGGGTCTGCGCTGCAGAAGAGTCACGGTGAACATCAGCGCCAGCGCTCTAGAAGTCACTTTACCGGACGATGACCAGGAAATCGGAGGGACGCTTCTTTCTAGGGTTCCTCTCCCGCCACTTGCTTTTGACCGTGACTGAGAACAAAACAGTGGTGCCTGAGTTCATGAATTTAATTCGTCCCACAGTTCTGTAAAAGGCAGCTGTGTTCATGTTTATGCAAACACGGTGGCTGTGGTTTGCGGAAAAGGCTCACAGAAAATCCCGGTGACCCTCCTGGAGCACAATGTGTGTGCGATTTGTCTGTCTCCTCTCAGCAGCACTTCGGCCCTCAGGTGGTTTTGAGGCTCCAGGGGTCGTAAGAGGCAGTGTGGACCCCAGGCTGCCTGTGCCAGCGCAAGGCCCAGAGTGTATCTGGGGAAAGCCCAGCCTTCGTCAGGACCACAGGCTGTCATGCAAGGGCCCCAAGCATGGATGGCCCTGCTCCCTCGGCAGCCGGGTCACCTCTCTCTGCCCGGCTTTTGGGTGATCGATCCCTGTGCTTGGGAGGAAGGAGTCCCTGGGGGCCTCATTCAGCTAAGGAGACCCGAGAGCTAGGCCTGGACTCTGGTGAGAAGAGGTCATGCAGTGAACCATACAGCGCACTCGGGCCCCACAGGCCTTCTCATGCCCGCAGGACCCTCCACCAGGTAACCCAGCTCTGCAGCGTGGGGTGAGGCCTCACACATTGGTCAGGAGGCAGACGCAGGACCCCGGGCAGCAGGCCTGTGCCCTCGCTCCGCTTGAACCGGCCTTGGGCTGGTCCTAGAACCTCTCTGGCCTCGTCCCCACTTCTGTGGGCCGGAGGTGGGAGTCACGGGCTCACCCTTCTCCCAGGCAGCTGGGGTGACGGGTCAGGAGGAGGGTGATAGAGGAGCCGCGAAGGCTTCTGCTTGCTGGAGCGGGAGGAGGGTGCTCTCGGCCTGCGGTTGTGGAGACCCGTGGCCCCACCTCCCACCGCCCTGCACACCGCGCCTGCAGAGTCGCTTCGGAGTGCGTCCTTTCAGGGGTTCAGATACTTATATGTGGAAATAAAATTATCCCCAGACGCTCTGCGAGCTGGGACAGAGATTTGGGTGATCTAGAATTGGTCTGCTGTGCAGAGATCTTAGAGCAGGGCTGTCTTTTCTTTTGCAGGCTCTCTGGGGTTTACTCAAACTGGATTCATTTGCTTTCACGTGAAAGTCTTCTAGGTGAACAGGAAGGCCCACTGCCGAAGCTAGCGTCAGTGCTGCCGGAGGCAGGTGCTTCTCGGTTCCCGAGGGGTCGAGGTGAGCTTCAGTCTGGGGACTGACCCAGAGCAAACTGAAGCAGACTCTGGAGCCACACGCTGTAGTGCACGCGTGGGACCCCCGCGTGCGGCAGGCTGAGGCAGGAGGATTGCTATGAGTTTGAGGCCAGCCTGGGCTATGTCACAAGATCCTGACTCAAAAACACCAAACACCAAGTATGACTTGGGGCCAAAGGAAAATACACTGCACAGAGAATGGGTGGTGATAAGCCAGGCCTGTGGGGGCAGAGGAGCCATGGTCTCCCTGAAACCCCAGGACTTTGGGGTGTGCTGCACATCTGGGCTCTCACAAGGGGCCAGGATGGGCCTGATCGGTGGGTGCCCAGCAGTGCAGCGCCTTCGGGTGCTGGGAGTCTGCACTGCAAAGCCACTCTGCTTGGAGCCAGCCACGGGCCACCCTGCCGCTGTCCCTACCCAGCACCTGCCCAGGACACGCGGTTACTTTGTGAGGCCTGGTCTGCACTTCCACTCATCTAGGGCCTGGGACCCAGCAGCCCTGCTCTGACCGACGACCTGGTCAGACCACAGACACAGAAGCCTCGTTCTGCTGCGATGGGCTCTGGCCAGCCGCTCCTGCGCTTCTCTGTAGGGGCCGTGGGGCACCTCTTGCCTGCTCCCTCCTGTGCAGGTGCCACCCTTCTGGGCCCTCTGCACTGCCGGGCTCTGTTCACCCGCCTCCGAGGGTCAGCACCCGTCAGTCAGCTATCACGCTGGTGCTGCTGGTGG